GTTTTTAAGAGACCTCTCTTTTCATGGTCACTGACTGCAATCTTATCTTCTATATCTGAGATTCTATCTTCGCATTCTTTTATTCTGTTGCGTACACTTTCAATAGAGTGTTTACTTTCCTGGATATCTGTTTGAATCTGTTTTATGGATTCCATTTCTTTCCTATATTGGGCGTTTATTTTTTCCATTTCTTTCTTATGCTGGGCCTTCATGGCTTCTATCATGGTCCTGAGCTCATCTATTTTTTTGTCAGTTTCTGCTCTAGAGTCTCGAATCACAATTTCCATTTTGCTCACTATCTCTATAGTTATCTGGGAAATTATTTCTGTTTTGAATTTTTCTAGAGCCTGATGGATCTGTTTTGTTACTTCCTGTGCTTTGAGTTCAGGGTGTCCTGGTGGTTCACTTTCGGCCTTTTCATCCTCATTTGCCCTACTGTTTGCCATTGGTGAACTGGAAGTCTGTCTTTGTGTCTTGCTTAAGTGTTTTCTCATTTTGATTTTTGTTGTCGGGCTGTCCTTGGTTTAATCTCTGAGTTATCACCCAAATCTTCCTGATATAGTTACACCCTAGCTTCTGTGTCCCTAATGACCCACAGACATTCTCATCTTCATAACATCAGAGAAAACAGCTCATCAAATCAACGGCAATGCTTTACCCCAACTGACACAATCAGCAACACATTAAGATCAAGCACAACTTGGACACTGACCTCCTGTGGTAGTCACTAGTCTATCACCCTTAAATCATTTGAATTAAATTGAAATCAAGAAGCAGTCCAGAACATGTCTGCAGTGAGCAAACTTTTCGATATAGTGTATTTACCATTTAATGGCTCAGACAGAGCGAGGATGCAAGACCCTGATCTCAGGTAGCTGATTGCTGAACCCCATGACGCTGACTGACCTCGGGCTGCAAGGCCCAGATTGAGTTCCCCAACCTTCTGAATGGTTGAACTCCACAACGTTCTATTACAAGTTTCCCACACCCTTTCTTTAAAGATGTTCAAAGTTGGGAACTCAGAAAAATACCCTTGATGACCACCTCTGTCTTTGCAGAGTGGGTCCAAAGACTGGCACAGTCAGGAGGTCTGAGAGTGCGGGGGAGGGGGGAGATTATGGGGGTTCAGGGGCGCCCGTGGCTACCTTCCTGGGGCTTGAGCGATGGCTGCTGGGTGGGGAGCAGGCGTGGTTCTCCTTCCCGCCGTGGACCCGGCGCTTGAGCGATGGCGGCTGGGTAGGGAGCAGGCGTGGTTCTCCTTCCCCTCAGTAGCTTCTTAAGGACAGGAGGTGAGAGGAGCGTGTCGGTGTCATTCCAGCCACTCCTGCTGTCACCCTCATTCCGTGTGCAGACAGCTCAGTACCGAATACTTTCATCTTCACCTGAGGTTGTCACAGTAGCAAAGGAATAAAATATAGGTGAAACAAGGGGAAAGACCCTAAATAGTCAGAAAGATGCGAAAAGCTTGTCCGCATATTTACAGGTGAGTTTCTGGTCTTAAACATCATCCCAGTGAGCATATTGACCTGCCCTAGAGAGCTGGAACTGCCACGGAAGGAGACAGCGTGGATGTGAGGCTGTGAGGAATAAAAAAGCAAGAGATAAGGGAAGAAAGAAGTGGAAAAGGCAGGTGTAAGACTCCAAAGAACATTTCTGAAATAAGGTTTTCCTCATAGTTCACACGGGCAGAGAAGAGTGGGTGCCATTGCAGAATAGGCTGCTGGTAAATGGTTACGACAAAGCATGAGGCTTTAGGTATATGAATGTGATCTCCTCGGACCCTTCTTCCCCAAGGTGCTCAATAAATGAATCTTTTCACTGTATTTTATGATCATATTTATGAAGTGCTGTGTGTTTCCATGCTGACAAAGCCTCCTAAAACAGTGCACACAGAATTCCCACTTTCAGGAAGACGGCATAGGTGGGACGCTTTTCTCCCTCTCTTCCTGGTAAGGGCAATTAAAAGCCTCCCAGGTGGTATCCACGTGAAACTGAAAAGTGGAGAGAAGACAGCAGAACAGCTAGAGACCTTGGAAACTGAGGAATCGTCCACACAGTTTACAAAATTGTGAATTTGTTGGATTCTCTTTTTGCCTTATAAATCCTGAACTTGAAGTTTGAAGAAGCCACCTAGCTACCAGAAAATGCCAATGAGTACTTTAAAAATAAAAAGCCTGGATCAAAGCCCCCGCTCTCACTAGCAAAAGGGCCAGAACACAAGCAGCATAGCAAGACACAAGATATTTAGAAAATGCTGCTCTTCCTGGCCAAACATCACAGAAAACCCCATGAGCCGCCACCACACGCCAGTAGACACTGAGTAGGGAACCCAGACTTCACCCCAGAAAGACTGAAAGCCCACAAGTCCCCCGGAGACAGCGTGGAAGAACCCCACATCCCACCCTCACCTGCACTGCTGCCTCCTGCTGGCCATGTTGAGGAGGCCCAGGGAGAGCCAGGACCTGGATAGCGCCAATAGTTGGCCTCCTCCCCAGTGTCGGCGAGTCCTCAGCCCTGCCCTGTAGTAACGTGACTTCTGCCTCCACTGGGTGAAAACGGTCGCACCTCCCTGCTGAGCGATGTCAGGAAAAGCCAGCCCAAGCAGACCTTTAAGTAAGATTCAGCCTTGCAACACACAAAAACATGCAGATTGCAGCTGGAAATGATTCACCATTCAAAACTACGCTTAACCACCTCATTCCAAGTAATGTAGAAGAGTTACCCAGTAGAGTATTGCAGGAAAATAGACTGAGATGCATAGAGGTCAAGAAAAAAAAAGGAAAGAAGACTTGTATCTATTTGCATTTGCAGATGAAAGGAAGCTACAAAAGAAAAAAGTCATAGAGCTAATTTAACAAAGTAACAGACTACTAAAAGTAAAGCAACTAAATTTCTATAGTCGTATATTCTAGCACTGAACAATGAAATTAATAACATGGTGTCATTTATTGCTTCTCAAAAGAAATAGGTAATAAAACATAACAAGGCTTGTTTCCTGGAAGCTACAAAACATTGATTTAAAAAAAAACTAAAGATTTAAATTAAAGAGAATAAATAGACATTCAGTGTTCCATGGATTGAAATATTCAACAGAAATGTCAGGTTTTTTCCTAATTGATAAGAGTTCGTGTTATTCCTGTCAAAATCCTAGCAATCTTGAAGAATCCGCCTCTCTGATTTTCAGGTCAGTTGTATAGCTGCAGTACTTAAGGTTGTGTGGTATCAGTGGGGACAGAGACACATGGATAAGCAGAGTGGACTAGAGAGCCCAGAAACAAACCCACACATATGCCCGAAGGTGCAGAAGCAATCCAGCATAGGGAAGGCAGCTGTTATAACAGTTGGATACCTATGAACAACAAGCACACAAACCTTCACCTACACCTCCTACTATACCCAGGCCAACACAGTGTATCAGACTTCAGTGTAAAATGCAAAACCATTGAATTGGTAGGAAAAAAGTATGCCTTCAGTATACATAATTAGATAAGTAACTCTTGCACTTGATCGCAAAAGTATAATCTATAAAGTGAAACATTGATAAGTTGGATTTTATCAAAGTTAAAACCTTAAGTTCATGAAAGATCACATCAAGGGAGATGAAAAGTACAGGGTGGGAGAAAGCATTTGTACACCACCTATCTGACGAAGAACTCCTATCTGTATACAAACTTCAAAATTCATCAGTAAAAAATCTAATTAGAAAATCCTCAAAGAGCACAAATAGACATTGAATCAAAGAGGGTGTAAACATGGGAAACTAGCTCAGAGCAGATGCTCAGCTGTACGGTTCAGACCTGCAGCAGCCCTCAGAACTCGGGGGTCAGAGCAGGGCTGTGCAGAGTACTGAGCCCTGTCACCGTGTAAGACGTGGAGGGGGCTACAGAGAACTATTCAGAGTGAAAAAAGTGAATCGCTAGAGATTACACAGTATATGATTCCACTTATATAACACTCTTGAAATGCCATATTATAAAAGTGCTGACCACAATAACGGCCGTCAAAGAATAAAAGAGGCACTGGGGACGCCGTAGGGATGCTTGCTATGATGAGAATGTTCTGTCATTTAACCTCATTAATGTCGGTGCTGAGACCACAGTGTTGCTGCCCTGGAAAACTGGGTGAGTGCACACAGGACTGCTGTCTCTTGTTTCTGGTAACTGCAGATTGAAGCTACAGTTATCTCAAAGTAGAAAAGTTTAAAAATAATCCCTTAGAAATGCAACTGAGAGAATCCCTTGTTGATTCTGTGATTAAATTGCGTCAGCCATCTGCAGTCGTGTGCCGAGCTGGGTCCATCGCCCGACCCCGCAGCCCTGGCCTCCGGACTGCCCGCCCGGGAAGGCCCGGGCATGGGTGGAGGACTCACTCGTGAAGTTTCGTTCTTTTCGAGGGAAAGCCCAGGGCGTGCTGGTCCACTGTGGCTTGTCCCGTGTTCCGAGCCCACACCACCCTCTGGTAACGTGGCGCACTCTCTCTCACCCTAGGAAAGCCGCTAGTGAAAGCTTCGCGAGTGACCGTGACCAACACGGAGGAGCCTGCGGTCACCGTGGACATAGGAAGCACCGTCAGAACAGTGCAGGGCGTCAACGTGACCATTAACTGCCACGTTGCAGGTGAGAAACAGTGCTGTGCTCCTTCCTCAGATGCAAACGGAGCCCATGCCAGCCCGAGCCACACAGGGACTTCTCTCAGGGACCAGCACAGACCTCCATTGCTCAGAAATCACAAAGCAACTCAGAAACTTAGGGGAGGGAAATTTAATTCTGGCTGGGACAGAAGAGGTGCAGGGTAACATGTTTAGGCCGTGTGGTGCTCAGGGGGCAGCAGGCCTGAGTCTTCCCACTAGCGTTTCCTTCCTGCTCACCCGCCATCTGGCTGTTGCTGTTTGCTTGCACGATAGAAGGTGAGTGTGTGAACAAACCTCTTTCCCAGATCCCTGTGGCTTTTTTTTTTGATCTGCCAAAGCTGACGTTTGAGTTGCTGTCCTTTCTCTTCTCTTGCACCACGCCATCCTGCCCTTAATTCAAAAGCTTCTGGAACGGGCACTCTAGAAGGACCCCATTGGTGTGGGATGCCGACAAGCTCCGTGGCACACGCATACTGCCTTCCACATGCCACACAGGCCAGTTCGCAAGAGCATCCTGTCTGGGTTTTTTTAAGGCAGGGAAGTTACAGCATCACGCCTCCTGGCAGCTCGCTGTAGGTTAAAGGCACTGCACCTTATGATCCTATCGTTACAGCCCATCTGGCTGAACCCATTCATCGATCCTTTCAAGCAACAGGGAGATCACTGTGTTGTGTACATTGTGCCACAAGGGGAAGAACCAAACTCCCAATTCTTTTGCTTCCTTTTTTCGGACACAGTACCAAGGAATCCACAGTGTATCCTAGCCCAGTAACTGGTCAACAGCAGCACGGCTTTGGATCTTTTTCTATGGTAGAGTTTATTTTTTGCCACTTTTTGGATTTTTTTTTTTCTGTACAGTGTGCTGTCACGGTACAGGAGGTAAGACAAAAATAATCTCAGAGCCTTAAGAGACCTGCCCAAGCCAGTCCCAGTGGATTATAGGAGCCTCCTCCCTAATACTCTCAGTGTTACAGTGACAGCAGAAAGAGTACTTGTGAAAGCAGAATGTTTAAATCAGTGCTTAAGTGTCCCATGGTTCACAACCAGTAACAACAGCTCGGACCTCCTGTGAACAGAAGGCTGAAGTGCCTTGCTCAGAGCTACCTCAGGTGGGCTCCTGTGGGCGGGGAGGAAGTGGGAGGGCACGGGGACTCTTGTTGCCTCTCGGGATTATGGTTGTGATCTAAAACGTCCCCCAAAGCCACACATTTTCAAAGGTGGGGCTTTGGGAAGATGACCGGGTCAGGGGCGCTGTAGGCATCAGTGGGTCGGTCCCTTGGTGAATCCATAGCTGAACTTACTTTTGGAAGAGTTGGGCCGCTGGGTTATGACCTGGGGGAGCATCTCCCTTCAGAGGCACTCCCCTTTCTCTCTGCTTCCTGGCTGCTGTGACATGAGCGTCTTGCCTCTGCCCAACCTCCCTCCACAGCCTTCCTACCGTGCAGCCAGCTGACCGTGGATCGTATCCCTGAAATGAGCCTCTCCTCCTCGACGCTGTGGGTGCCCGATGTGGCTTCTCTCTCTGCCTCCCTTTCCTTCTCCCTCTGTCCCTCACTGTCTGCCCTGCCTCTCTTGGTCTGTTGCTTCTCCTCGTAGAGCCCAGGCTCTAACCAAGCAGGACACAGTGACAGGCAGCGGGGACTTTCTCTGCAGGAGGATCTGTTACACATACCACAGAGTCCCTCAGGGTCCTTTTCTCCACCTTACTTTTCAGAGGCTTTACACTGAATTTCTAGGGATTTGTTTTTTCTTTAAATTAACTGCTGAGCTCAGAACCCAAAGTCCAAGCTGTCATGGACAGGCATCATGATGCTCTTGCTAACCCTAGTGGTGCTGCAATGGGAAATCAGCTTCTGCATCTCACCTGTTAGCTTTTCCAGGTACATGAGAGACAAGGCCAGTCTGCTGGCTCAGGCCTTGAGCAGCAAGTCTTGTGTCACTTGAGCTGCGTGAGTGTGCACCTGCCTGGTGTGACAGGGCTGCAGGCTGCCTCTGCACTGCTTTGACTGCCCTGCCTCTCTTCCTTGTATCCTTGAGAGCCGGTTTCAAGGACAAGTAACAGGTGTACACGTGACTTCCAGAAGCCTTCGATGTCCCCACCAGTGGGCTGGCCCTGAAGAGCAGGGCTGCCCCAGCCAAGGGCAGCATCCGGCCCCAGCTCAGCAAGGTGCTGCCTGCAGGTCTGGCTCCTTGGCTTTTCTTGGCACTGAACCCGTTTCCTAAGCGCACCCTGTTGTGTGCTAAGTTCTGAGCAGCTATGTGCTGGGTCAGCAGGCGGTGGCACGCGGATGAAGCTTTTGCCCAAGGGGCCTGTGAGTCAGGGCCGCACTTCCAGGCTCCCAGCTCCCTTGGGGCCCAGCTTCCTGTGAAGCTCCTGCAGACCAGCGGAGGGTGAGCCCTGGACCGGTCCTGACGCCAGCCTGCCGGCTCAGGGAGCTGCTCCGGGAGCTGCCCTCTGGCCAGCCCGACTCCCAGAGGCAGGGCCGCCCCACAGCAGTGCAGTACGCGCCCCTCTCATGGGACAGGTGTGGGTTACACAGGGGCAGAGCCCCACTCGTGTCCAGCTTCTGTGTGCCTCCCTTCCTGTCACCTTAACAACCTCGTGAGATGATCGGCTTACAACGTGAGAGGCTGTACGTGGGTCACAGTTTGGGAGTTTCCATTCCGCGCTGACTGGGCCGTTGTTCTGGGCCCACGACGCGGCAGCAGGTCACGGAGCAGACACGTCGCCTCGTGGCCGTGAAGCAGGAGAATGGGGAAGGGGTCTGGGTCCCGCAGTGTCCCTCGAGGGCGTGTCCTAGAGACGTCCACAGGACCCTGTCTCTTGGAGGTTCTGCCACCCCGAGAACTAAACCTTTCGCAAACGTATGGGCCTTTGGGGACTTTCACAGTCCAACTGTAGCAACTTATAAAAATGCAAGCCTGTTTCCTCCATACAGTGTTGACTCTGCTAAGGGTCTAGCAGCTTTTATTTGTCTAGGTCACACATCTCTTAATGTTCTATAGCTTTACCTTTCATTGAAATATTTCTCTACAGAAAAGTGCACACTGTCAATTAGATGCCGCCTGAGCGTTCCCCTAGCCTTTCTGTCCACCCCCGGGTTCATCCTCCCTCCACACTCGGACTGCTGACGACGTAAATGAATGTTACCAACTTGATTTTTGCTTACAGAAATGAAATCACACCTTATATATTCCTGTGTCTGGCTTTTCCTACTCAACACTGTCTTACGGAGTTTTAGATCCTTCACTGCTATGGATCCATACGTTTAGTTTTTATGTTTTTTGTTTTCTCACCAGAGAACGTGGGTGTTCTGCCTTGGTAAGTGCCCTTCACCACCGGCCTCTTTCTCTTCTCTTAATCATCCTCCTCTTCCTTCCTCATGGGGAAAAGCTTTAAAAGGAAAAAGATCTAGAGATAGCAGCGAAGTCCAGGTACTGTGTAGCTTGGCCAGAGGATGTCGATGGTGCCCGGGCAGCTGCTTCCTGCAGAGCAGCCCACAAGGGCCCGTGCGAAGCTAGATCGATACGTTTGGCTGATAAACTTATTTTTTCTCTTCCAGGTGTGCCTGAAGCTGAAGTCACTTGGTTCAGGAACAAAAGTGCCCTGGGCCCCTCTCATCACCCGCATGAGGGCTCCTTGCTGCTCACACAGGTGTCCCCCTCGGACCAGGGCCTGTACTCCTGCAGGGCAGCCAATGTCCATGGAGAGCTGACGGAGAGCACCCGGCTCCTTGTTCTAGGTGAAAACCCCAGACCCAGGCTGACTGTCCGCTCGTGTCCTCTTTCCTCCTCTCAGTCAACGCCATCCAGGGCGAACTTGGGCTCTCTCTCCTTCCCCTCATCACCAAGGCTTTCAGTAGGCAGGGCGTAGACTGTGGGACCAGATGCACATGAACTGGAACCTAGCTTTACCTCATTCTGCGTGGCCTTGGGCAGGTTGCTGCACAAGTCTCAGACACTGGTCTCCACGTGGAGGTGCACCACCAGCCCTGTCCGCGTCATCCACGTTGCAGGGGAAGCAGGTATCAAAGGGAAGTCACAGGAGGGAAGCATCTGTTCCTGTCCCTTCTGTGCTAAGGACTTCTTTGAGGATCAGGTGGAAACAATGACCCCCTCCAGAAAAATTCATATGTGTAAAATTTTCCATCTAATTCACAGTCTGATCTACGTAAATTCGCCATACACACATCCCACACGTGGGCACTCCCGGCTCAGGGATCTGGCAGGAAGTGGAAGAAAGTGGGTGCTTAGACTGAGAGCAGCTACCGGACTGCTGTCCACCAGCGGATGTTGCCAGGATTGGGCTCAGTCCTCTGGACTAGAACCTTCTGCTGCTTTTCTCTCCCCCATACCCCCAAGTCTAGAGTTGGTACAATAAAAATAAAATAAGCTTTTTGGTGAGGATGTTTCACTCTTCAAAAACAAAGCAACTATTAGAGCGCTTATATTAGCTTTCTAACTGAGAAAAACCTAAGGGGAAAAGAGAAAATATAAGAAGTAGTAATGACGTGCTACTCTTGCACACATAAACATACATTATCGACTTCCTCAGGGAAAAAGAATTAAACCATAGATGGCTGTTTTCACACCTGAAGTTGATGTACCAACACTCATTCTCTTACCCCTGCTCACTCGGATTTCAGAGGCCCAGACGGGCCCCCTGGTGGCTACACACCTACAGCCATCGTAGGAAGCCACGGAAAGTTGGCTCAGGGAAAGAAGGACGCCATTTGCTTTGCATTGGGTTTTGTCCAGCTAAACAGCTGGTCGAGAGCCCAGAGCCCAAGACTGTTGCCCCACACTGAGTTAGGGCTCTGACTGGCCGTTGCTTTTCTGCCCAGTAATCCTTCCTCGCTATCTCTGCTAACAGAGATAAAAGTCTAAGATGGTGGCTGTACCACTGCTTTGCCAACGAAGCATGCCCATGTGTGTGTGTGTGTGTGTGTGTGCGTTCACGCGCGTGTGTGCACATTCTGTGAGCTGGTTCTGACCACATTCCCACTCCAGTGTGACCGCGAAGATGCTGTTGGGAGAACATGCAGTCTGTGAAAGAAATGGGAAAGACCACTTTTAAGGCTTCTATCTTTTGGGCTTTTTTTTCATCAGAAGTCTCAGTTTCTTAAAGATTGTTAGTTTTTATAGGTGCTTTATGAAAATAGAGGTGATAACTTTTTTTTAACCATCAAACATATAGCTTAATTTCTAAAGAAGAGATTTCAAGTGTAGAGTTGAAATTTCATGCCATGTTCTGTGATTTAACCTATAGCAAGAAGACTTGCTAATAAGACAGTCGTCCATTTATTCACAGACATTCAGTGGTGAGCATTCGTGTGTCACCCCTGCTCGTGTCTGCTGGGCGCTGGAATATCTTTAGTGGATCACAAGAGGTAGCTTCTACCCCTGGAGAATTTCATTTCTCTGGGAAGGTCAAATGGACATGTATGAAAAAGGAGAAGTACCGTTTTTAAAAAAAGCTTGAACTTGAAGGAGGGGCTGGTATTTGGAAAGAACAGATTACTTGGCAAATGGAACGTAGCCTCTTCTTTTTGCTCTGAGTAAATAAGCAAAGGCTTCTTGAGTATGGAGTGTGAATATTGAGGAGTAGAAGAGGAAAGATGCTTTGAGTAAATTACCACCATCAATTCCTAAAATCATGGTATTTCAAGTAGAAACAGATCTTGGAAAGGAACCCATTTTATAGAGGAAACTAGCACTTGGCAGGATTGAGGAAGTTGTCCAGGTTGGTGAATGATAGAGCCATAGCTAAGACTGAGGATTCCTGAATCCAAGCAGTGTTTTCTTGTACTATATGCAGAGAGCTTTTTCAGTTATACTTCATATACTTATATAGATGCACGATGTCAGAGTCACCACTTTTCCTGTGTGATGGTCTCGGGCAGTCAAAAGCAGAGACAGAGGTGTGTTTCTGAAGCACCCTCAGGCACCATCAGTGCCTGTTGGCCTCCCCAACAAACTCTCTAAAGAATGGCAGCTGCTCAGCAGACACAGGAGGGGAGGCAGAGATTCTCTTGCCATCCGGGGAAGCTGGGACCATTCTGCCACTAGCTTCAGTAGGTACTTACTTGCCTCTTCATTATTTGGTGGAAATGGTAAACAAGCTGCTGTATCTCCAGTCTTTGTCACTTTTAACTGTGACCTCCAATGACCCCTTATAAGTTTCCAAATGATAAAGCATCTCATAGTAACCTCTTCCCGTCCTGTTGGTCTGAATTCTATTGGGCAGAAAAATCCAGAGCATAAAACAAATAACTTTACAACTAGATCTTTTTTCCTTGTGGAAATAGTCACTCATAGGCCCTTCTGAATAAGTCATGCTTGTGGTATATTTCTATCTGTGGGGACGATCACAGAGTCCCTATCTGAAGGGTGTTGTAGTAGTAGATAAGTGAAAAATGGGATGAAAATTACCTCATCAAGACTTGTCATCTAGTGAATGCTAAAGTTGCTCATAATATGATTTAATTTTTCTACAAAGCTGTAAGAACAGTGTTGCTGTTCTGGAAAGTAAGGACCTCCTGAAATTAATGTGCCTGGTTCTTATTATTGACCCTGTTATATTGGGTCAGACGCTGAATATTAAGACTCAGATTCACCTGAGAGGTCTACCTCCATGTAGGGAAAGGGTGTTGTTCAGTCAGGAAGAGTAATGCCTGTCTTGCACACACATTGCATGCCTACTACCTCTCTCCCACTTGAAACTACCGGTGTGGTTTAACTTTCTGATTCACTGTCTCTTCCCACAGAGGCTCCCCGGGTCCCCACACAGTTGGAAGAGATCAGGGCTTTGCTCTCGGCCACTGGCCCGAACCTTCCTTCAGTGCTGACATCTCCTGTGGGAGCACAGCTGATCCTGGATCCTGGGAATTCCGCTCTCCTTGGTGAGTCCAACCCTCTGAAACATTGGGCAACAATCCAGGGCTGGACAGGATTTATGGGTGAATGCTTGCAGGTGGGAGGAAAGCTATGGTGGGGGGTGGCCAACAGGAAATCAGTAAATTGCCTACAGAACCCAGACTCACCAGCAGAAACTTGGCTGCCTTTCTGTGTGAAGTGAATACAGTTCTCAGTCTGGACTTTATAGCTTGCCTAGATTCCAACATGGTTCTTTCCTGAGTCCTCTTGGGCTGATACCATGGCCCAGATCTGCTCACTCAAGGTGGCCACTGAACTCAGGTACACCAGTAGAATCTACTCCTGTGTCTCTTCCTCCTCTGTACCCCCATAACCCCCTCCACATCAGTGGATCTATAGTCATGCTCAAAGGCAAAGCTTCTGTGGCCTCCACAAACCAGTGGTCCTATTTGGCCAGGCTTCCTAAGCACAGCCTGAGGCCAGCCCAGACAGACTCCTCAAGGCAGATCTCCCTAGCATCTGGTGTTAGAAACCTTCACCAAGGTTGCCTACATGACTAGGGCCCTCTGGTAGCAGCGTTCAGTGCAAGGGCATCCAATTCCTGTGCCCCTCATCAGAATCAAGGACAACCCAGAAGAACCCTCATGCATGCTTTTCAGGGAGCCCGCGTGGAGAGAAAGCCCTCATTTTTTTCCAAAGGTCCAGGTTGGAGATGGAGTAGGGGACACAAGCCTGTGCATGCATGAGGATAGGGAACATGCAGAAAACCCTATGCCTTCCTTTTGGTTGTGCTGTAAATCTAATAAGTGCTCACACTACCTAAGTAAGAGAAAATGTTTTAATGACTTATTAAAAACAAGCCCCACAAGACCAGGGAACTTTATGATAGCAATAGCTAGAATTATTTCCTTGCTCAAAGTTTAGTATTTCTTTATTACTCTGCCACCGACTAGCAGAGAACAAAGGCCAACAGGGATATTCCAGATCATATCCATGATGACTTATCAAAATGAAGTGCCTTGAGTTTAGGGTTAGAGCACAGAAAGGCTTACTTTAGTTTTCGTTGTCATCTGACATTAGTGGAGAGTCCTCACAGCCCATCAGCATGTGGAAGGAGGTTCTGACTTCTCTATTTCTGACTCGGGTAGGAGTAAGACACTGGCAGGGTTAACGAGTATCCCTGTTCTGTTTCCCATGATGTATAAAATCTCAGCACTGACCTTTTCCATATCACACTGATCAGAATTCACAGAAGTTTCAAATTGTTCAGTTTCTTTGGCTTGTATATGCTAAACTTATTCCAAATTAAGTGTATGCATTATGAAGTTCTTTGTTTTAGACTCATCGTTATGAAAAATTGTAACTGTTGATCATAGCCGAGTCACTAGCAAGGTGTGTAGATCGTATTTATCTCCACATTGAAAAACTCTTGGGTCACTCAGGTGCCATTCAACATGCTGGAAAAGTTACTCTGCTTATATTTTTTTTCATGATAGCTTTGTTTTCTTTCTCCTTTATTCTGGAATAATAGTTTGTCTCATTTTAGCCATTGGCAATAAGAATTTATTATGCTTTATGCTGTTGCGTTCCATTGCTAGTTTATGATACTTTTTTACCTTAGTCTGGTACTTAAATCTAATAGTGAAAAGACACCTCAATATTCCATTCCACATCCAGACTGCTCCACATAAACGAGGCAGTGAGACTGTGTCCATAAAGTCCTGGATGTAAATGCCTGGACAGAATGAGCACTAGCAGTGAGCACTAGCGTGGTGCCAGCACTCCGGAGCGAGGGGAGACCTATGAGGAGTTGTAAGAGTGAACTAGAGAGTGATGTCAGTTATCAGAACTCTGAGAAACAGGTTATTTGAGATAGACCAGAGCCTCTGTGGTGCTTTAGAACTGTGTGTTGAAGGATGAACAAGATTCAAGCAGGCAGAAAGGAGAAGAAATGGGTACTAAGGTGCAAAAGATGCCATGGATCCCAAGATAAAAACATGCAGGGCGTGTGACAGTTGTGTCTCTGGAAACAGCTGTACAACACCACTGCCCTGAGGGTGATCACTGGCAGCTAAACTGGGATAGAAACTAGGCCATCAAATGAGCAAGCCTCAGCCACAGTTTGTCCCTTCAGATTTGCCCCAGACTTTTGCTTCAGCAATTCTAATGCTCACTCCATCTTGAGCTTTTGCAGCTAGGAACTCGTTCTGGCCCATTAGTCGAGTTGTTCCCAACTGGACAGGGTTCCCCCGGCTTCCGTAGGTGGTCCCTTTCAACCACAGTGTATGCTGTAGATACAAGAAAGAGGCCAGAGATCCTGGGGGAGGCTGACTTGTGAATGGTTCTAAGAAATTAGAAGAGAAAGTAGTATCAAATTGTGGAGGGACTTGAATACCAGGCTAAAGAAGTAGATATACTATCATGGGTAGAGACAGATATTTAAAGGATTTTTAAATAGGAGAATGATTGCATTAAAGTGATGTTCAACAATTCACCTGACCTTCCATATAAATAATTGATAGTGGAAGAGTATCAGTAACTTTTCTCATTGCTGAGACAAAATACCCAACAACCAAAGTTAAAGGAGGAAAGATGTACTGTAGCTCATAGTTTGCAGGTTTTGGTGTATAGTTGGCTGCCTCCAAGCCAAAGTGGTATGGCAGAGGAGAAACAGTTAATGGTAGGCAGAAGGCAGCAAAGCAGCAAGGAACCAGCAACAATAATCTGCCTCTCCTTTTTATCCCTTCCAGAATACCCACCCTTTGAATAGTGCCATCCACACCCAGGGTGGACTTCCCATTATCCACACCCAGAACTATGCAAAACCAATCAGTGGACTGATTTAGCAATCACACACCCTTAACCCCAGCATCACATACTTAATCCCAGGATCACACACCCTAGATCCAGCCATCTCTTAAAAGCCCCACCTATGACTCCATGAGGCTTTGGAGGACATCTAGACATAAGCTATAACACAGAGATTGAATGCGGAATTTCCATTTTGAGGATAACAGATATTCTAAGCCAGTGACAGTAAACCTTTTAGATACCAAGTGCCACACCGCAACCAAAAACCCACTTACTTGTCATAAAGTGGCAACACTGCAGTTAAACATGAATACTGAGGTTTTAGTTTAGGAAAAACAACTCATACATTGATATCTTTTGTCTTAAAAGGAAAACACGATAACATGCACACCATAGGTTCACCGCCACTATTTTAGACCAAGATTAAAATATGTGGCAAAGATACTGTTAATCCCTCCTTTCAGAGTCAACATACACTAATTATACTTTTTTTCATTAGTATAAGCACTGCCTTGGAAGAAATTTTACCATTCCTGCCCAACCTGGTGGTAGTTGACATACAGAATGAAAGCCATTGCTTTCGTGTATGAAGTTAGCTGGTCTCACAGATTCATGGTTTTGTAGCATCTCCAGGTTCTGTGGCACAGAGATAGTAAGTCATTGACTGTGATTGTCACCTTTCGTGGAAAGATTATGGGGAGACATTTGGGGTCTTTCCAGCCACATCTCAGTGATAACTCTTCTTCGTTGAGACTTGAGTGTTGGGATTCTGGCAGGTGAATGGATTCAAGAAAAGGCTGTTTCAGTCATCAGACACTCTGGAATTGCTTTCATTTCAAGCCAACCACAGCTACAGCTTTCAAGAAGGAATGTTATTTGAGCACCTCATGTATGGGCCCTTCTGAGCCTCACTTTCCATAACTGTAAAAGGGGAATTTGAGGCTCCATGCAGGGCGGGCCCAACTTAGTGGGTCTATTGACCAAGGCAAGAAAGGAAGGATTTCTTCTGTCCTTGTTTGTAAGCTGTCTTTTCTACAGCTCAAAATTTTGTCCACTGCTCTGGAGGGAGAAGCCAGTACCTATGACACCACCCCTGGTGGTCCAGGCCTAAAGCAGCACCCTACAGGCCACCATCTTTACAGTAGCAGCAGCATCCCAGGCACGTAATTATATAAACAGATAGCTTTCCACATCTCTGAATATTCTCCCTGAATTAATCTCAACCCCTGCCCCAACTTCAATACTGGGATTTAACTACGGAGTTACAATCCCAGTCCTTTTTTGTTTGTTTGGTTTTGTTTTTAGAGAGAATCTTGCTAAGTCACTCAGTTGCCCAAGCTGGACTTGAATCTGCAGTTCCCCTGCCTTGGCCTCCTAGGGTGCTGGAATTAACAGCATCTGCACCCTTCCTGGCTTACAGTCTCATTTTCAGTGGCTGCATCAGCCAGAGATACCACCTCTTACTCATCCAAATGTCTGATTTTGGACTTTGAGGTTTTCTGCAGTCTTGTATTTATATATAAAAAAAGGTATGATTATTATTTCTAACTAACTCCTCATATGACACCTGTTTACTTAGGATCAGGTGGAACTATTGTGTCCAAAGCTTTGTGTATTTTAGGTGTTTGCTATAGTCACATTGCCCTCCAACAGAACCTTTATGACCGCCAGCAGTATAGGAGAAGTCCGACCTCTCCAACATCAGATATGACCAAGAGCTTTTACATTTACCATTTTAATTGGTGAATACCCAGCAGGGTAACAGACAATGCAAAAAATGTTATAAGAACATTTTTATTCTTTTTTGATTTTAAGTAATTTGGGGTTTTAATATGTCTTTCAGTCATATATATTCATTTATGAATTGCTCATTTGTATCTTGTTTATTTTTTATGCTTCTATTGATTTATAAGTTATAAAGACATATTTACATGTTTAACATATTTGACAGTTTGGTAGCTGACATGCACTAAATAATGCATGAAGTTTAAAATTTTATGTTTTGCCACACTTGTATACACGTATGCACCTGTGCAACCACCCCACAGTCACTGTGATAGACACATTCATCACCCAGATTCCCCTGCCTCTTCCTGGAGACTCTCACATGGCTCTTCCCCACCATGACACCCAGCGAGACACGGGTCTGCTGCCTGGCAGTAGAGGTGGGATTGTATTTCCTAGACTGGTGGCTTCTTTCGGGATAGTTGCTTTG